TCTGGGTTTGCCCAGCTCCCTGTGCCCCTCAGCTGGCCGGCCCACGCTGGTGGATGCTGGTTTCTTGCACGTCTCCTGCCCTCGCTCCAAGCTCTGTTGTGCTGGCTCGGGAATTTAGGTCAGGGCTTTGCACTGGCACAACAGCCCCAGGCAATTGGAGTGGGAGGTCTGGGAGCACCCCAGGCTCCAGCCCATGTGCCACCACCTCTGACCTGCCCTGCTGAGACAAAGCCCTTTCATTTTGTGACTATTCCAGCTGGGCAGTTCTTGTGCTTAAGTAATGTAAACCTGGCCTTTCTCAAGGAGCAAGGCACAGGGTGTTTCCCCCCTTACAAAAGGGGATGCAAGCACCACCTTGACACCCACCTGCTCTGGTAAAAACCACGGTGTTGGTGGCCTGTCGTGATTTCCCTCTGTTCTGTGCCATCTCTCCTTGTGGGTAGCTGATCAGACGGGTGATATCGGAGACCTCCAGCAGCGAGGTGGTAGCCAACGACATCATCGTGCACTCTCTGGCTCTGGAACTGCCCTGTGGCAGCGTGAGTGAGTCCCTGCTCCATCCCGTAAGTCTGATTTCAGTCCCCCAGCAGCAGCAGCCTCTGATAGAGGTGCGGTTATGCCTGTTTGACCGTTCAGGAACCTTTAGCTGCATTTTTCCCATGAGCTTCTCGTGGCTTTGTGACAGAAACAACCTGGCTGTGGGTAGAGAGCTGAGGTCTTGGATGTTTCTGATGGCAGGTTGCTGAATATCCTCCTTCTGTCTCACTGCTTGAAGTAATAGACCCTGTTCTTGCTGACTGCAGCCCCAGTGTAAATTTTGTGGGAGAAGTAGGACTGGTACAGGCTAGGAGTGGGCTGGTGCCATTAACATTTCAAGGGCTGCCAAGCAGAATTTAAGAAATGGCAGCTGTCCCCATGCTTGGTGTGACCTGCCTGGGTTGTGTCCCTCAGGTAACAGCGGGATGGGCACCTGCCGCAGCAAGCACAGCTTTGAGACCTTCTCCCACCGCCGCTCCTGCTTGATCAAGGACCTGAAAATGGATGTTGTGAATGAACTGCGGTACCCACCTGGCAGCCACAGGAAAGTGTATTTGACCAAGTTCCTCCTCTTGACGTGGTTTAACAAGGGCCAGGTGGGACTGGCCATCTTGGTCCTGCTGGGGGTTGTGGCAGCAATGGTGGCAAAGGTGAGCTTTGGGGCTCTGCTGTCCGTGGGTGTGTTCCCAGCTCTGTCCCCTGAGCCCAACTTGGTCTCAGCCTCCACCACACCATTGCCTTGGGCTCTGTGCCCTCCTTGTGGGACTCACCCTTGTTTCTGTGCCTCGCTAGGTGGCGTCCCCACAATGAGAGGGGTGATCAGCAGCACATGGGACCTGTAACCCACCGCTCACTCCTTGCAGTCCTAGCGCTGAACACTTTTTTGCTGTGGTTCCTTTTCTTGCGAGACAGAAAATGCTCTGAAGAGGTAGAAGACAATGAAATTGCCCCTAAAGCAGAGAAGCTCCAAGCTGGAGGCTCCAGCTTCTGCTGAC